ATGTCACCACGTTTCAATATTGTAAATACAACTGGTTTGGTTTCTTTTTAGGTTGGGTCCAACTCAACTGAAGATTTTCACATGTGAATACTGTAACAAGGTGTTCAAATTTAAACACTCCCTCCAAGCACATCTGAGGATTCATACAAATGAAAAACCTTACAAGTGTTCACACTGCAGTTACGCCAGTGCAATCAAAGCCAACCTTAATGTTCACATGCGGAAGCACACGGGGGAGAAGTTTAGCTGTGATTACTGTACGTTCACTTGTCTCAGCAAAGGCCATCTCAAAGTCCATATTGAAAGGGTTCATAAGAAAATCAAGCAGCATTGTCGCTTCTGCAAAAAGAAATACTCAGATGTTAAAAATTTGATCAAGCACATCAAGGAAACGCATGACCTTCAAGATAAAAAGGTGAAGGATGTTTTTGATGAGCTTCGCTTGATGACACGAGAGGGCAAAAGGCAACTTCTTTATGACTGCCATATTTGTGAGCGCAAATTCAAAAATGAACTTGATCGAGACCGTCACATGCTTGTTCATGGTGATGAAAGGCCCTTTGCTTGTGAGCTCTGTGGTCATGGAGCCACTAAATACCAAGCCCTTGAGCTTCATGTGCGAAAACACCCGTTTGTATACGTGTGTTCTGTGTGCCTGAAGAAATTTGTCAGTTCTGTAAGACTCCGTGCTCACATCAAAGATGTGCACACAGATTTGGAGGAGACTTCTGTTTTTAATAGCTCTATTAATCAGAGTTTCTGCCTGCTTGAGCCGGGAGGGGATATCCAGCCAGAAGCCCTGGGTGAACAGCTAGCACAAAGTGCAGATGAATTGACTGTCATGAGCACTGATGCTGTTAACACACCACAACCATCTGCTGATAAAGGTGAATCAACAGCTACAGAGGTGAACCATAATGGTCAACATAATGGTGACTTAGAAATTGATACAGTCCCTTTGTTAGAATTTGAAAATCCTCCAGTGGAGAATGTAACAGAGACCCTGTGTCAGACAACAGACATAGCAGTCCCAAACGCTCAATCCTGTGTAGCATCAGATTGCTTTCTGCTGAAAAACGGTACTTCTGGTTGTGATGAGTTAAAAGTGTCTCCCGCAAATGAAGAGGAAGTTAATCACTGCAGTTCTGTAAATGAGCAGGGTGAAGAAATTCAGCTTTTACTGTCTGAAGACAGAAGTTTAAATCCGAGTCAGAACAATGCAATGACTGAGAACCTTTCAGTCTCTGAAGAGAGAAATCAGTCTGTTCCTTCTAGTGAATCAGAAACAAGCAATCCCCCAATTCAGAATTCAGCAGAAACCACAAACTCTTTGCCAGCACCAGAAGCTAATGCAGCCGTCAGTCCACCGGCAGCCTCTTCTAATGCAGTTGTATCGGACAGTGGGAATGGAGCTGTTGCTTTTATGCAGATCTTGGATAGCTTGCAGAAGAGACAAATGAACATGGAGTTGTGTGAGAGGATAAGGAAAGTTTATGGAGACTTGGAATGTGAATATTGTGGTAAGGAGTAGCAGAACAATGTTTTTTGGTTGGGTTTTTTTTTGGTTGTTTGTTTTTAATGTTGTATAATGGGCCATCTTTTTCCTGCTCCACTGGTTTAGTTTTTTATATATTTGTGTATCTTTGTAGCAGCATTAATTTTGTAGTTCAGTATGGATTCTGGGGTCCAGTGAGACCTGCTTTAGGCTGTAAAAATAATGTGAAATTACTCAAATCTCCTCAAAAAACCCACTAGCAGACTATAGCATAGCAATGCTTTGCTAAGTTCAATTATCTGTTAATGTGAAATTTTATAGAATTAGATTATTTCTGTCCCTGTGCCTCTCCCCACCTCTTAAAGTTCACTGGGGCCAAACAGCAGATTTAGGCATGTGATCAGTATTAGTCCATGCTTTAATGCTTAAACTTCATTATCAGCTTAGTATAAAATTCAGAGTCTTTTTCATACAGTATGGAAGGATTTATGATAATAGATATTCTGATAGTCTGTGCAATAGGTACTTATACTGGCATTTTTTTGTGACTTGTTTTAAAGCAGTTTTTTGATATGAACATTTTCATTATATAGTTCAAGGCCAGGTTGGATGAGGCTTTGAGCAGCCTGGTCTAGTGGAAGGTGTCCCTGCCATGGCAGGGGGATTGGAACTAGATGATCTTTAAGGTCCCTTCCAACCCTAACCAGTCTGTGGTTCTAGTATCAGATCAAGACTGTTCTGATTGTAATTTTTTTTGAGTTTATGAAAGTGGGAAGAATACAGTATTCACATTTATTCTAATGGAAAAAAAATGTATTTTTATTGCTGGAAAGGAAACAATTTGGGATTTTTTTTGTAGCCTTCATTCTTGAGAAGGGAAAGGAAGCAAAGTCTGAAAAAAAAAAAAGTTTTTGAAATACTATAACATTGTATGTTAGACTAATTACTTTGCACTTTTTCTTTTTAGTGCTATCATGTCTTTTAGGAAGGAATAACATGAAAGGAAGTAAAAAAAAAAAAAAATGACTGTCTCTTTTAGTGTACAGTTGCATTCAGATTCTTTGTATAGAAGAACAGACAGAAAGGACTTCCTCACTAGGAAAAAGATCAATATATATTAAAGTTGCACTTGTTAGTCTGATTCAGGACATGTGACACACTCTTTTTAGACAAAAATGGTTTTGTAAACATATTTTCATTAGTGAAGGTTCTTTAGGACAAGTTTTCATTAAAGACAAAAGGGATAGGGTTCAAACTCTGTTTTCCCCCAAAAGAAAACTGTGTATGTGTTGGAATATTCACTAACAACTGTTTAGAAATTACTTTCTTCATTTCTAATTTTATTTTCAGGCAAGTTGTTTTGGTACCAAGTGCATTATGACATGCATGTTCGTACTCATACTCGAGAACATTTATATTACTGCTCCCAGTGCAATTATTCTTCCATCACCAAAAACTGCCTTAAGCGTCACGTCATTCAGAAACACAGCAATATTTTGCTGAAATGTCCCACAGAACATTGCGACTACTCTACTCCAGATAAATACAAGCTCCAGGCACATCTTAAAGTTCACACAGAGCTGGTAAGTAACAAACAAAACAGCGTGTTTGTCTAAATTCAGTGTCATCATCATCATGTTTGGAATTGTGTGGCAATATTTGAAGACATGGGTGGGTGTTCTTACCTGAGCACTCTCTGCATACTTCTGTGTAGGGAGTACATGAGTTACAGCAACTAGATATTTGGTCCCTCTCCTAGTCGTTTCCAGTAGAATATGTCTGTATCCATTTTCTCCCTTTGGTTTTCACAGTATTCTCAGATTCTCTGGAACTTGAAAGAGTAAAATGAGGTCTGGTACTATTGCTTATTTCATTCCTTGGAACTGAATTCCCTTCCTTCATAAATAGATGATTGTGGTAAAATGAAAATATATTCCCCTCTTAATTACTATAGACAGAAGAAGTTTTAAGTTGTTGAAAATATATTTTTTTTATTTTACTTTATTTTAATTTTTTTTTCCAAATAGCTCCAACTAGTTGCAGACAATCTCTATGAACGTATAGAATTTGCTGTTGTGGTTACAGAAATTAAGCAATCATATTTTAGAGGCTCCTGTCTTATTCAGTAAGCTTTCCAACTCTGAATTCCATTGTGTTAAAAACAGGTCTGTTCTCCTTTTTCAACATGCCCTGTTAGGTGTTCTCTTTGAGACTATGAAAGGGGCTACATGCCTGACCAGAAGCCCTCTTTGTGCAAGACACTGCTTTGTGATCTTGCTCTGATTCAGCATTATCACATGAATAATCTTGTCAGGAAAAATGTTTTCTACATCAACCGTGCTTGCATTTGTTTCAAAAGTATGTTTTAAAAACTATATTACAGTATTCAGAATAAGAAATATTCAAAAGATAAGGAATGAAATTTTATTCTTCATTGTTGATTAAGATACTTTTTTAGAAGTGAAATTATTTGCATGCTTTTCTTGGAAGATTAAGGAAAAAAAAAGGTTATTTTCTTTACATCAGTTTTTCCTTCTTTTCCTACCATGTGGCAGGATCTCTCTGCTGGTAAGGCAGGCTCTTGACCAACAACTGCAGTTACCTTAAAGGTGTTTGTAACAGAACAGAACACTTCACTTCCTACTCTTGATAAGTACTAGTCTTTCATAACTGCAGGCAGCTTTAAAAAACAAAACAGGTGACACAAAAAGGAACATTTTTTTCCCTTTTCCCCTGATTCTGTAGTATTTTAAACAGAATCTGAATTTGTTGTGAAATGTGCTGAAAGCTCACATAATAGACATTCTTTTAGGCTGCTTTTGAATTATTATGTTTATGTTATCCATCTAACGGCAAAAATATGTGTAAAAAATATCTGAGACTACTTAAAAGAGCCTAAAATTAGATATCTTGGATCCTATATAAGCACCTATTTTTCAAGTGTGATGAATGTCCAGCAGCTCCCACTGGGAGGATCATTTTCACGCTACTAAATAGAACCAAGAAAATGCATTTCATAATTAAAACGAGTGTGACAATGAGATTTTTCAGAAGTATACTTACTGATGCTTACTCTCAGCTGTATTTGAGTATTTAAATGGATTGAAAAATTCATGTATTAGATTTTATTCAGTAACTTAAGGTGGTAGTTCTCATACTGGCCTTTGTGCCCACTGCTGGGTGTATTTACTTAATGCATACTGCACTGAACAGGACCACTCATTCCAAAATGCAGTGCTTTAACAAACTGCACAGTTAAATGAGAAAGCTACTTTCCTGTTAATTTTAGTTTGTAAAATCAGTTCTTAATAAATGCTAAAATTAAAGTTTCCCTGGAGATAGAAGATATCAAAGTACAATTCAGTTCCTTGTATGAATGCCTGTCTTTCTTACCTTGTTGCTGGCTGCTCTTGAACTGGATCCTTGTCTTATTTGGTGAACGGGATAAATGATGGTTAAAAATGATGGTTATAAATTATGTTCATTCCTGTCACTCGGTATATAGCCACCCATTATGTACACCTTCTCTGTGCACCTTCCAAGTCTTGCACTGAATTTGGGATTATTTATTCCCCGGGGAATGATGATGGGGACTGTGTATGTGCTGCTTGTCACCTCAGTATTGCCTACACATCATTTCACAGGGAGGATTTTTACTTTTGAAGTCTGGAAATTGAGGCTTAGATTGATTTAAAACCAAATTTTTGCATATAGTCTCTGATTTTCAGTACCTGTCTTTTACTTCTAAGGCTTGTGTACTGGTTTGTTATAATTCTTGGCATTTATGGAGCTCTTTAGCAGTTCAAACCATGAAGCATAATTTATAGTTATGAATAACCTAGTGGTAACATTAGGGACCAGTTGTGGAACTAATCAAGGCTGATGTAGGTACCAGAGTTTGTTTACAACCTCCAATGGGTTTTACAGTACTCAGTATGCTGAGCAGATAAACATGATGGAGAAGTTTATGTCTGAAATTATTTTAAATCTATATCATAATTGATACTCCAAGATAAGCACCTCTGTCAAACTGGAAATCAGACCCGGAGCTGCCACTTGCTCTTAGGTGCCTACATCTGCATTCATGTACATTTCTGGATATAAATTATTCTTGTCTTTGGAAGAGTGCTTAGGAATTCCATTATCCCACTGACCTTTCATGTAATAGCATAGTTGGAGCTTTCGGTAGGAATTGGAATACTTGAACTCTGATTGTTTGTTGTCCCTTCCAGAGGAAGGACTGTCCCTGGTTCTGGCTGTGATACCTTTGCCTCTGGAGCAATTGTCACTGTGTAGTCAAGAATGCAAGGTACTGGACAGGGAAGGAATTGACCAAAAAATCTCTGGTCCAGTGATCAGGTATTGAGTTGGGAAATGGCTGCTGTTCTTGGTCCTTGCTTCTAGAATGAATGTCAGCTAGTCAGTCACTTTTACTAGTGTTTTTTTAATGAAAAATACTTAAGCAGTACTGTATGCAGGTGCTTGTCATTTTGTGATTCCCGATGCTTGGCAGACTTCATAAAAGTCTGTCTAACCATTTGCAAATTTTTGTGTAGCCTCCTTCACACATGTGCGTGGCTGCCTCCTGGGTACATCAGATCCATTTAGCCAAGTTGCATTTCAGTAGGACAACAGCTTAATTAAGGAATCTTTCATTAAAGTTTTTATTTAAACACCATGTCAACTGTGGTGAAGATTTCTGGATGTCTTCGCTCAGAAGTTTAACTCGGGGGCCTCATTCTTCCAGAGGTGTTAGAAATTAAATTTCTGTTAATCAGAGTATTTGCAGGAGGAGGCTTTGGCTCTCTATTCCTCTACGAAATTACACAATCAGATGTTGTACTAATTGAGTTATGGAAGGGCTCTCAGAGTACCAGTATTTAGTAGAGCTATTTTTTATTTCCTGCTCATAAAATCACATCGCTACTACTGAAAGGAGGGGAATGGATTGTTGATTTCTATAACATATTTGTTTAAGTTGGGCCTGAACACTTTTTATTATGTCCATGGTCTTAATTTTACAGTGTTAATGAAATTGATAACAAAGCAGTCAGGAGTTCACACAGTCTCATTTGAAATTAGTGGCAGAATTGCTGTATAGATCATAGAATCATAGAATGGTTTGGGTTGGAAAGGACCTTAAAGATCATCTAGTTCCAACCCCCTTGTCATCAGCAGGGACATCTTCCAGGTTGCTCAAAGCCTCGTCCAACCTGGCCTTAAACACTTCCAGGGAGGGGGCATCCACAGCTTCTCTGGGCAACCTGTTCCAGTGTCTCACCACCCTCACAGGAAAGAATTCCTTCCCAATATCTAATCTAAATCTCCCCTCTTCCAGTTTAAAGCCATTTCCCTTTGTTCTGTCACTCCCTGCCCTTGTAGAAAGTTCCTCCCCAGCCTTCCTGTAGCCCCTTCAGGTACTGGAAGGCCCTATAAGGTCTCCATGGAACCTTCTCTTCTCCAGGCTGATCAGCCCCAACTTTTTCAGCCTGTCTTCATAGGAGAGGTGCTCCAGCCCTCGGATCATCCTGATGGCCTCCTCTGGACTTGTTCTAGCTGCTTCATGTCTCTCTTGTGTTGGGGGCTCCAGAACTGGACACAGCACTGCAGGTGGGGTCTCATGAGAGCAGGGTAGAGGGGCAGAATCCCCTCCCTCAACCTGCTGGTCACACTTCTCTTGATGCAGCCCAGGATTCAGTGGCCTTCTGGGCTGTGAGCGTGCATTGCGGCTTATGTTGAGCTTCTTGTCCACCAGGTCATGTGATATATGATCATATATATTCTATGTACGTTCATAAAAGAAGATACTTGTGTCATCAAAATGTCTCTTTACTGATGAGTGCAGTAGAACAGCTACTGATGTTTCTCATGTTTTGCAGTGTAGGTTATATTTAGTACTACTTGATTCATTAAATAAACTTCACAGTGGTCTGTTGGTTTAAATGCTACATCTACAGAGGCTTTTCATTTTTCATTTCATCACTGTGTACTAGTACACCTACCCCTTGAATTATCTTGAAACACATGCCTTAAAGAAACAAAATTCTCTTCAGAGAGCTATAAATTGGTAATGCAATATAGCTTATGCTTTCTTAGTACAATTTTAATTCATTTATATAAAGAGAAAGGCATTGTTATTGCTGTGTAAGTGGCCTTATTTTGTAATGAAACATAGCATAAACAAGAAAACTCTGTGATAGTATTAGACTAATTTTTTTCAATGGGTTTAAAAATATTCATGATTTGTGGAATGTGAACAGTGTTTTCAGTCAGAAAGCTACCTTTATCTTGGAATTATTTTAAATTTTTTATATTTTCTCAAGTTGGTTAATAGGGGGATTAAGCACATCTCGAGAAGACTGGATGTGACTTTGAAATTTAAGTAGCTGGTCTCTTAACAAAGGTAGATCCAGCTCTCATGGTACTTTGCTTCTGTTTATGTCCTTCAAAAAATCCTCAACAGCATTTAAAAGGCAGTATTAATAAATTTTATTCTTACCAGAGGAAAACTTACATGCTGAGAATGTGATGAAGGTATTGCTATAACCTCAGTCCAGCTCCTTCAACGTATCTCTGTCATCGC